AATTACTCAGATGAGGGAAACCATTGTTTTACAGATTAAGAACTTAAAGAACACATATTGTTCAACAACTTCATGTAATCCTGCCACTCTACTGCACCACTGCCAAGAAAAAGTAAAGTATGTAAGTAATCCTGTTTTGCCTTGTTGCTTGGGATGCTAATCTTGGGTGGGCATTTCTGACTGGTGTCATATCTGGAGTATCATGCAATCAGTCTAGGTAGAAGAACTGGGAAGAGATTCAGCTTTTTCTGTAGCTCTGTCATGTGCTCCTGAAAATACATATTTTGATCCATTGCGACAAAGAAAATTGTGGAGGATGCAACAACAAAGAACTGCTTGATCAATTTTATATACAGATAAATTTATCATGGTAAGCAAGATGCGGTATCTGTTAGCCATAATTCCAAAGGCATTCTCGACAACTGAACGAGCCCTTGATAGTCGGTAATTGTAAATTTTTTGTTTCTTTGCAAGATTTCTAAAAGGAAAAAGCTTCAAAAGATGCTCTCCCATAGCAAAGGCATCATCAGCAATGAAAACAAAGTTCTGTCCTTCAACTGCTTCCTGAGATGTGGGCATGTTTAGTGATCCAATTTGAAAACATTGGTAGAACTCTGTTTCCTCTATAACCCCTCCATCCGACTTCCTACCATTTTTAACAACATCCACAAATAGGAATTCATAAGCGTTGACAACTGCAAGGATTATATTGAAGAATCCTTTATAATTGAAATAGGATCCAGAGTGTGCTGGGGGTGCAATCCTAATATGTTTCCCATCAATGGCTCCACCACAATCTGAGAGGTTTTACTTTTCATTGAATTGGTTTCCAGTTTCCATCCAATCCTCTGAAGTTGTAGGGATCTATGGATATATTACAACAAAAGAAAAATTATTATGACATTGAAAATATAATTTTCTTTTACCTGTAAAAAAGACTATTGCTCATCGCTTTAGTGATGACAACGACATTAGTGCACAAAAATTAAAAATGACATTGAAAAGAGAATATTATACATTTATACATTACAAGACATTAAAAGAAAGAGAGATTTTAATGTTCTAATTTAAGTACAGAAGATTACCTTGATGTACTCCTTCTGAAGGACATTGATAATCGCAGAACATGTCTTGGGACTAATTTTTTTCTAATGATTGAGATGATATTCCAGTACTATATTTTAGGTCCTGCAGGCTTCTTCCAGTTGCTAAGAACCTGAGGGTGGCAATTAGTCTTTGCTCAGCAGTGATGGAGTTAATCATAATTATGTCTTGCTTTTGAATATAAGGTGCAACTGCCGATAATAGTTGTTGGAAACAGGCATCCTCAGATAGTTCCTGTAGTCATCTGGATTATTCTCCTTTAATTCTCAAATTAGTTCAATATGTGAATATTGGTCTTGGTTCTGCAGCCACAGCTTGGTCCAAATCCTTCTCTTACATGTTGTCTTATGTTTATATTTTTGGATAGCCAAAACACCAAGTGTAATTATGCAAATGTTTTAACTCTAGGTCTCATCCATGTTGAATATCAACCGTACGTTCATGAAAAAACAACAGGTGTACGCAGATGCTTCCACTTCGGATCCCGCAAAGTATCTATTAATATCACGATTAATAGGTTCTAATGCCAGTGCCTGCAACAAAGGGCGTTGAACGCTCGTTCTGGGCCACAGGGCGTTGAATGCTTATTCTGGGCAGAAGGGCGTGGCTATGAGGTCACATGCACACTGCATCACTTCCACTTGTACGGAAGATGTCAACAGTACGTTCGAAATTGATTGCTTGAATGATTTTTTTTCGATTGGTTAATGTGGGCCATGATTTCGACCAGTGAACACTGTTTCGTTGGTCGTCGGGTGACTGATCTGCTGATTTCTATTGTGTATTCCTGCCGTTACTCTATCCAAAATCAAAACAAAAACAAGTTCTGCCTTTAGTGACAGTTTAAAGTGGTTGTAAAGGCTCAAGATTTTTTACATACATGCATTTTATGCATGAAGGCAAATAACTTTATGTGTGCAGCAGTGCCTTGGCTGTCCCGGGTCTCAACCTCCTCATTGGCTGAGACAGCAAGCGGAAGCCATTGGCTCCTGCTGCTATCAATCACAGCCAGTCAGCCAATGAGAGGAAGGGGGGCCAGGCCAAGCCGTGGCTCCGTGTGTGAATGGGCACATGGGTTAATGTGGGCCATGATTTCGACCAGCGAACACTGTTTCGTTGGTCGTCGGGTGACTGATCTGCTGATTTCTATTGTGTATTCCTGCCGTTACTCTATCCAAAATCAAAACAAAAACAAGTTCTGCCTTTAGTGACAGTTTAAAGTGGTTGTAAAGGCTCAAGATTTTTTACATACATGCATTTTATGCATGAAGGCAAATAACTTTATGTGTGCAGCAGTGCCTTGGCTGTCCCGGGTCTCAACCTCCTCATTGGCTGAGACAGCAAGCGGAAGCCATTGGCTCCTGCTGCTATCAATCACAGCCAGTCAGCCAATGAGAGGGAGGGGGGCCAGGCCAAGCCGTGGCTCCGTGTGTGAATGGGCACATGGAGCAGCGGCTTGGGAACAAGCCTGCTCGGGGCAGCTGTGGGGGCAGTCAACAGAAAGGAAGAGCCAGGAGGGCCAGCAGGGGACCCGAGAAGAGGAGGATCGGGGCTGCTATGTGCAAAAGCACTACATGGAGCAGGTAAGTATACCATGTTTGTTATTTAAAGTGATACTAAAGGTTCGTTTTTTGTTTTTTTTTTTAAACTGGCCATGCATAGTACAGTTTTTTTCATTCAGCCATGAGGCTGAATAAAAAAAAAAAGAACCGATTGCCCCATACACACATTTGAGGTGGATGGTGGAATCCTTTCCACTGTGCTATTGTATTCTGACAGCAGGAAGACTACTCTGCTATCATACACAGATCAGCGCTGAAGCCATTTGTGACAGGCGCGGCATCAGACCTCAGCCCTTCTCACTAAACTTGTGACCAAAGGACTAGCCAATCTAAAACCGCGACGTCACGTGCGTAACAATGCCACACCCAGCTGCACCCTGCACACCGATTATCCAGCTAATTGGACCACAATCGACATACCGGCAGCCTGACTGCGATTGTTACTGGGTCAGGTTAATTACGCAATTAACCCTTCACACTGCCATCATCTCCTTTTTATACAGAGAAAGAGGAAACTCAGCAATACACTAGGATGATTCGGTAATCGTCGGTATCCCACTATCTCCACAGACAGGTTATACAGAGGGTTAAAACACTCATAGTAGCAGCAGGGATTCGTAAGTTACATTCAAGAACTATAGAAACAGTTCAACACTTTCAGAAAGTAATATTTATTACTAAAAGGTCAAAAAGGGTGCAGTAGAAATATTTACAGAAAAAGATGTAACCAATATATATATATAAATATACAGAGTACAACAGCACAGCAAACAGATAACAGAAAGAAGTTTAGGTAAATAAGTACTTGCCAAATAAATGCCTGGGGTTAAGCAGTTTCAAGTCTGATGAGCTAAAAAGGGATTTCTGGTCTCGCACTCAGTTTCATTGGTACTGCGCGATTCCCCTTTCTCTCGGTCTGCTAGATGTTAAAACGCAGATGGTCCACAATTCTCTGACTATACACAAAGCATAACAGCTTCTTTTCTACAAAAATCAATTGGTATCTTCTTACAACAGACAAGCCTATTGCCTTATTTGGGAAAAGGATGGCATAGACAGCTACACTGAACGCATTCCTGAGGGAGGGGGAATGAGGGGATACATAAAGACTTCTTAACGCAGTGAGAACCGTGCCTGGCTCTTGTGTCCATGACTGTGACACCATTGACTACAGCTTCTGAATGAGCAACGTTTATCTGACAGGGCGGTTGAACAGAAGTCGATTGGTAGGTTGACTTCTGTTCAACTGCAGTGGCCACACATGGATAAAAATTTGTCCATCCATGCTGAACCAAGCCGAATTTCAGTCCATCTATGACCATCGTTAGTTACATAAGAAGCTGATGGTATTTACAGAAAATTTGTTACAGAAATATAAAACCAGTCCAGTCAGATAGCCCCATAGCTCCAAGCATGGCACAACCCCAGAATCACTAATTCACCATTCGAGCACTCGGGCACTGCCCGAGGGCCCGGGGTCAGTAGGGGGCCCCATGAAAGGCCCCTGGTACCTTTTTTATAGGCTTTTTTGGGTGTGCTTTGAGTGTGGGCAAGGAAACAGAGGCCCCATGATCCCCTATTGCCTGGGGGCCCCATGAGTTGTCAGTCCGCCCCTGCACTAATCAGATCACACCTTTCATGGATCTATCAACTAACATAAACTAAAAAGAACATAACAATGGTGGTTTTTTTATAGCTCTTATGGTGAACATAAATGCTTTGGTTTTATTATCCAATTGATGTGCGAATAGATCAAAACAATTGAATCAGAAACCAAATAGCCATAACTTGTGACTGATTTATAATTAGTTTACATTAAACTTCATCAAACTGAGTTGATCAACCAGAGCAAATTATTGATTAATTTGCCTCAGTCAGCAGAACTGAGCTCATCCATTCATAAATTCTGTTCTGTTCTTCTCTACACTTTTCCCTTTGAGTAGCTTGCAATGCAACTAAACCCTTATATTCTTCCAGATAGACTGAATGTAATCTTGAAGCTTATTAACAAAATAGGGTGGGGTGAAACTATTAGGAAAAACAGATAAGCAATATATATAATCAATATACGATATATACAAACACAATGAGTTGGTTAGGCTCTAGATGACAGTATATCCATGGTCACCAGCTATGCTGCCTGTAAGGGATATAAGTTCAGTCCATGACATGTGCTGCAGATAATTATGGCTGCATCCTTTCCCTCAGTTCTTAACCACCTCCCGCCCGCCATATAGTCCAATGACGGGCGCAAGGTGGTTCTCTCGTTCTGAGAGGACGTCATATGAAGTGCTCCCATTCTCAGCGCGCAGCGCGGCGATCGGCGGTGCGCTGTGTCCCTCGGACACAGCGGATCACCGATCATGGAAAGAGCCGAAGATGTCGGCTCGGTCATGTGATCAGCTGTGTCCAATCACAGCTGATCACATGTAAACATGGAAATGCTGGTTATCGGCATTTCTCTCCTCGAGCTGTCACGCTGACAGCTCGAGAGGAGAGGTGAGGAGAGCTGGTAATCGGCTTTCCGCGGAGGGGACATGTACACTGATCATCAGGGCACTGATGATCAGTGTGCCCTGATGATCAGTGTAGCCCCAGCAGTGCCACCTGTCAAAGTCCATCAGTGCCAGCTGTCAGTGCCGATCAGTGCCACGTGCCAGTGCCTATCAGTGCCACATCAATGCCACATTTCAGTGCCCATCAGTGCCACATCAATGCCACATATCAGTGCATACCAGTGCACATCAATGCCACATATCAGTGCCCATCTGAGCTGCCTTTCAGTGTCATCCATCAGTGCCAGTCAGTGCCACCTATCAATGCCAATCAGTGCCGCCTAACAGTGCCATATATAAGTGCCATATATCAGTGCTGCCTTTCAGTGCCCATCAGTGATGCCTGTGAATGCCCATCAGTGCCAACTACCAGTGCCTCCTCATCAGTGCCACCTATCAGTGTCCATCAGTGCCCATCACTGCAGCCTCATTAGCGCACATCAGTGAAGGAGAAAAATCACTTATTTACAAAATTTTATAACAAAAACTAAACAAAAAACGTTTTTTTTTTCAAAATTTTCAGTGGTTTTTGGTTTGTATAAGAAAAAATAAAAAACCCTGAGGTGATTAAATACCACCAAAAGAAAGCTCTGTCACAAAAAAATGATAAAAATTTCATATGGGTACAGTGTTGCATGACCGTGCAATTGTCATTCAAAGTGCGACAGCACTGAAAGCTGGAAATTGACCTGGGCAGGTATAAGTAGGCTAGTGGTTAAGATGGAGTCTGAGCTCCAAAGGTGCACCTACCTCATCTTCCTAGAATGAAGGATGATGGGAGTTTTCATTACCACATAAAAACTGGTTTCTTTCAAACAGTGAATTTATTCTGGGCTCCATATAGTGGCCAAGAGGCAGAACACTCCCTGCCTGGTATCAAGGGATACCACTATTTGGGTCCTCAGAAGGAAACAGCAACAGTCAGAAACTGGTCTGAGGAACAACTTTGCTTCCTTGTTCCTGTGAACTTCAACTTCAACCTTTCTGATGCTCCCATCCTCTATTTGGAAGAGTTTTGGTGACAAGGCCATTTTGATCAAGAAATGGGTCACGTTTTTCAGAGCACTGTCAGTGGGAATTGATTTCCTGTTCAGGATACAGTCAATCTCCCTGGCACAAGTTTCATATTGCACAGTACGGATGAAAAAGTCTTGAGACTGCTGGAGTTCTGCTGCTGAACTAATCATTTGACAGTGGTGCCAGCTTTATAGTCATAGTAGCACATTTAAAAGAATGAGCTATATGGACGAGGTGAGTACTAGCTCAAATGAGTGACTTCCAGGTTTAGAGTCTGTTAAATCTGTGGGTTTTAAGCTGACTGTCTGAAGTCACAGTACGAAGTGTGGAGATCTTAGGGCGGATATCAACAGGCTGGATCTAATAGCTCAATTGTGCCACTATCAGGATCAATGTGTTCTGTTCTGTACAAGAATGCAGATCCTGTAAACCATGCCATGTCCATAAGGGGACATGCAGACAGCTCTTGTAGCATGATCTGCAGGGTTATGGTCAGTAGATACATAGTACCAATGCGTTAGACAGGTGCATCTCCTAATCCTTAGCACTCTGTTGTTGACCTAAACATAGAATCATTTAGTCTTATTATAGATGTAACCTAACACCACCTTACTGTCAGTGTAGAAACTGGCATACAGTCAGGTCCATAAATATTGGGACATGGACACAATTCTAACATTTTTGGCTCTATACACCACCACAATGGATTTGAAATGAAATGAACAAGATGTGCTTTAACTGCAAACTGTCAGTTATAATTTGAGGGTATTTACATCCAAATCAGGTGAATGGTGTAGGAATTACAACAGTGTGCATATGTGCCTCCCACTTGTTAGGGGACCAAAAGTAATGGGACAGAATAATAAATGATCATAAAATCAAACTTTCACTTTTTAATGCTTGGTTGCAAATCTTTTGCAGTCAATTACAGCCTGAAGTCTGGAACGCATAGACATCACCAGACGCTGGGTTTCATCCCTGGTGATGCTCTGCCAGGCCTCTACTGCAACTGCCTTCAGTTCCTGCTTGTTCTTGGGGCATTTTCCCTTCAGTTTTGTCTTCAGCAAGTGAAATGCATGCTCAATCGGATTCAGGTCAGGTGATTGACTGACCCACAGAACAGGATTCCCCAGGGTGCGGAGTCTAAGCCCCAGTCTGCCTTTTCACCAGAGCCCCTGATGGTGGGGATGGACTTGGCGCAGGACTGAGACCAGGTTGCGGCCCCTGAGTGCACCCAACTGTGGTAGAGGGGTCCGCCGAGGGTATGTACTGGGGGAAAGCCTGATGTGAAGAGGCTGGCAGGTTTGCACAGTAGTGACTGGATCCGTGCGGGATGGATGGATCGTCTGGGTAGCGTCAGGCGTAGTAAGGCAGGCCAGGTCAGCAACGTGCGGGTAGTGAGGTACCGGAGGAGCAGGCAGAGAATAGTCAGGGTCATAAGCCGGGTTCAGTAACTCACGGGCAGCGCGGTACAGAGGATCAGGCAGAAGGATGGTCAGGCAAGCCAGGGGTTCAACAGGTGAAGGTCAGCAGAGGTCAGGATCAAAGCAGGGTCAGCAACTAGGCAGATAGGCAGGAACACAGGATACCAGGTACACGGGCTCATGGGAAACATACACCAAGGCAATGACTGCAGGTCTGGCCATTCCTTAAATACACCTCCTGCAATCAGCCCCAGGTGTTGGCTGATTGCAGGAGTAAGCTTCTGGCTGCTGAGAGCACCCGCTGGTCAGCCCTGGTACTGCAGCCCACACGGCAGGTGAGTCCCACCACCAGTGCTGGGTCCATTCCTGACAGTGTATTTTAAATGATAGAGACAGAATATCAACCACAAATTTGACCCATGCAAGCGAAAGATCTCCCTGGCAAAAACCGTAGCCAGTTCTTGCGCAGTCAGCAATTTCTTGAACGGAACACAATGGAACATCTTGGAGAAACGATCAATGACCATAAGAATGACCATATGGCCTTGAGACGCAGGGAGGTCCACATAAAAATCCATGCCCAGGTGTGACCAGGGACGCTCCCTATTGGGAATGGGTTGCAGAAGGCCCAATGGAAGATGCCGAGGAGATTTATTCTGGGCACAGACAGAACATGCCGCTACATATGAGGCAATGTTGTAACGGAGAGGTGGCCACCAGAATAGACGAGAAACGACCCAGGACAACTGGTTCCTCCCCGGATGACTGGCAGTCTTGGAATTATGGTAGGTACGCAGCAGGCGGGTGCGCAATCCCTCAGGTGCGAAACATCTGCCAGCCGGTCCCTCAGAGGGACCATCAGTCTGAGCCGCCAAAATCTGCTCCCCAAGGGGAGAAGTCAGGCTGGTACGAATGGCAGCCAGGATCTGATCCGGAGGTATGACCGAGGTCGGCTCAGAGTCCTCCCTGGACAACTCAGAGTATTGCCGCGACAAGGCATCAGCCCTGACATTCTTGGAGCCAGGCAAATAGGAGACCACACAGTTAAAACGCGACAAGAACAGAGCCCATCTGGCCTGATGGGGTGTCAAGCTCTTAGCCTCCGAGAGATACGTTAGGTTCTTGTGGTCAGTGAGAATGAGAACCGGAACCGCAGAACCCTCGAGCAGGTGCCTCCATTCCTTGAGGGCCTGAATAATGGCCAACAACTCCCTGTCTCCAATCTGGTAGTTGCATTCTGCGGAGGAAAGCTTACTGGAGTAGAACCCACAGGGAAGTAGGGGTCCATCGGCCAACTGACGCTGAGACAGGAGGGCGCCTACTCCCGTCTCAGATGCATCAACCTCGAGGACAAAGGGCAACCCAGGATTGGGATGAGACAGTATCGGAGCCGAAGCGAAGGCGGATTTCAGAGCTTTGAAAGCTAAGATGGCCTCGGATGACCACTCGTGGGGATTACTGCCCTTCTTGGTCAGATCTGAGAGAGGCTTGGCCAGCGTGGAGAAGTTCCTGATAAACTTCCGATAATAGTTGCGAATCCCAAAAAGCGCTGAATGGACCGAAGACCACTGGGAGGAGACCACTGCAGAATCGCCGAAACCTTCTGAGGGTCCATGGAAAATCCCACAGCGGAAATTATGTAGCCCAAAAAGGCAACCTGGGATCGGTGAAATTCACACTTCTTGAGCTTACAGAAAAGCTCGTTCTCACGTAACCGTTGCAGCACCCACTTGACATCCTGTATATGAGACTCCATAGACGCAGAATAAACCAGGTTGTCGTCCAAGTAAACCACCACGCACTGCTGCAACAAGTCACGAAAGACATCATTAATGAACTCCTGAAAGACTGCGGGCGCGTTACACAACCCGAAGGGCATAACCAGGGATTCATAGTGGCCGGTTCTGGTGTTGAACGCGGTCTCCCACTCGTCGCCTTCCTTAATCAGTACGAGGTTGTACGCAGCCCTAAGGTCGAGTTTAGTAAAGACCGTTGCTCCCTTGAGGTGGTCGAACAACTCGGTAATCAACGGAATTGGGTAAGCATTCTTAATAGTGATTCGATTGAGACCCCTGTAATCAATGCAAGGCCTCAATTCACCGCCCTTCTTTTTTACGAAGAAAAAGCCAGCTCCTGCTGGAGAAGTAGACTTGCGAATGTGCCTCCGGGAAAGCGCATCCGCAACGTACTCCTCCATGGCCTGATTCTCCGCAACCGAAAGGGAATACACCCTGCCACGAGGAGGAGTGGCACCGGGTTGCAAGGCTATGGCACAATCATATGGACGATGAGGAGGCAGAGCACCGGAGCGCACCTTGTCAAACACGTCCAGGTACTCCCCATAGTCAGTGGGCAACACAGAGTCCGAGGAGGCACACAGCACCTTAACAGGTCCACGGATGCAACCGGCCCCACACTGTGGAGACCACGAGAGAATCTCGGCCGACCACCAATTAAAGGTCGGATTATGCTTCTGAAGCCAGGGATATCCCAAAACCACTGAGTAGTGCGGAGAAGAAATTACCTGGAAACAGGCCAACTTCCTGTGAACAGCCCCAATAGCTACTTCAACCGGCAGGGTCTCGTGGGTAAGCTGCGGCGGTTGCAGGGGACTGCCATCTATCGCCTCGAGAACCAATGGAGTAACTCGAGCCTGCAGAGGAATGGAGTACTGGGCAGCAAACGAGCTGTCCATAAACAACCCGCCACCACCAGAGTCTACCAACGCCTGGGCCGTCACCGAGCCTTCCGCCCAAGAGAGGACAATGGTGATTAGCGGTTTATCTTTCTGGGACACCGGGG